CTTATATCCAGGGTTCCTTTAGAATCATTTATCCTGACTTTTTTTCATGCTGGAAATGATGTTGCTAGGTAGTAAGTGAGGGAAAATCTGTAATAGGGACACAGAAAGAAATGTAAAAAAAAAATCTTACTGGGTTCTAGCCTTCACCTACATTACCAAAGGAATGTTATTCCTGCCTGTATTGCTGTTGAGGAGTTACACTCACTTTTGTTCTGGTAAAACATCAGCAGGACAAAATATTAGGGTATCCTCTCTAACAGAATCCTGGGATAGTAGTAAAAACCTGACAGAGGTTCTCCCCCTTCCCCGCTCTATCCAAAGCCAAGAAAAAAATATTTGATTAGAAATACATGCTAAGAGATGATATAAGGAATGTGTTTGTTAACATACAGTATACACTTGCATTGTGAATATGGGCAGTATGACACAATCACTGTGAAACTATGCAAAGCAAGACGTAGATCCTTCCTTTGCTAATCAGCAAATACCACATAACATTACAAACGCTACTAATAACAAGGCTTTTAAAACACTAACACACCTTGTATAATAATATTATTCATATTAATTACATTGGACAGCAATTTATGACAGAATGTACTGCAGGCAATTTGCTGATCAAGTTGTTTACCTCTAGCCATTAAAATAGATTAACACAGATTTGCAGCTGGTTCAAAAAAGCTGTTGCATCCTTGATCCATTTACATGTGGAATGACAAGCTTAGCTTTGTGATGTTGAATAAAAGAGGATGATATAAAATACTACAACTTAGTATGACCTTGCAATGAAAGGAGAATAAAAGTCGTTACTGTATCCTCACAAATTTTTATTATGTGTGATGGTCTGTGGTTCATATTTTGATGTTCCATAATAACCACTGAAATAATTCAGTTTCATGGTGTCTACAGCCATTATTTGACTAATGTTCATGTTGTACTTTTCCAATACAAATATGAAAAAAATCAAAGCAAAACTGTTGACTTTGGCAATGGTATTTGGGAGCAGGTAGTGTTCAACACAGGAGTGCTTGCATTTACAGCCCATTCTTTCCTTATTTAATAAGTAGTGATGAAAATATTTGGCAACGTTTGGTTCACTGGACATTTTTCAGCGGTCTTGGTGGGAAAACCTCATTAATTAGGAAGATTTTTGGGGGTAAAAAGGTCATGGGTATCTGGACATTACCATAGGGGACATGCACTAATGAAAAAAATAATTTAATAATGCCATTTAGCATGGATAGAGTCTTTTAAGGTGGCTTAAAGTGCAACAATACAAATACAAAAATCCTTTAAATAACCTGCTTTGGGGTTGTCTTAAAACTGCACATGAAGTTAGTGAACAGTAAAAGTGAAATTGTTTGTTTACAAACAGTAGGAACGGATCTATTATTTAGCAGCAGTAACAATACCACTACTAATGACAGATCTATGGATGGATTTTGTTTGTATACAAGCTGGTCTGGGGATCTTGGTGACATCATTGACAAAACATGGTTATGATGGTCATTTACAAACACAAACTAGCTAGTGATTTGTCATTTGAGAAAAATGTGTAAAAAAAAAGGTGTACTGTACCTGTGTAAAGAAAGAAATGTTTGGGGGTTCCCCCTTGCATTTCATAAAAGAGCTTTATTCAGGCATGCAGTTAGAATGGCCAGTAGGGTTGAGGGATGAGCCAATTTTTGCCCAGGTTTGTCTGGGTTTACAAGGGTTAATGCCAGGTTAAGGTTTAGGGGTTAAAATTAGGTGTTCAGTTGGTTCACACATTTGTGATGTAATGCACAAAAAATTGGCTGCATCAATGCATTTCACAAGTGTGATCCTGGCCCTAGGGTTAAGGTTAGGGTGGGGTCTTTGGGAAGAGGGGTTAAGTGTTAGGTACAATTTTAGGGTTCATGCTAAAGCTGAACTCCAGGTGGAAATAAAACAATGCAGTTATGTACAGTATACCTTCAAATCATTAAATATATTTTTAGATGTAATGAGTGTAATTTCCAACATTTGGCTTGGTTTCAGGCTCTATTTTCCCCCTGTAGAGGAACACTAAGGCTGGGAGAAAGAGGGACTGAGAGCCAATCAGGTATGCTTCTTGTACATGTGATAAGGAACATGCTGACAGGAGGAAAACGTAATACCTTATCTGTCTGCTGCTCCTGCTGATGATGATGATGATGATGATGCTCCTTTGTTGCCCAATCACAGGCTGGAGGCAGGAAGGTAACCAAGTTACATTGCTCTAACAGCAGCCAACAATATTCAGGCCATCTACTTAGCTATGCTGCCAGGTTTATTATAAGTGTTATGCTAAAGTTTAAAGTTATTCTAAAGGGGTTTTTTTTTAAGAAAAGATAACAAACATGTGTATACTTACCTGCTGTGTACAGTGGTTTTGCACAGAGCAGCCTGGATCCTCCTCGTCTCTGGTCCCCTGCAGGCTGTCCTGGCCCTTCCCTCCTGTCGGGTGCCCCTACAGCAAGCAACTTGCTATGGGACACCCGCTGCTCCGTGTTTCCATTCACACAATGGAACCATGGCTTGGCTCGGTCCTGCCCCTCTCTCTTCTCATTGGCTCACTGGCTGTGATTGACAGCAGTGGGAGCCAATTGCTCCCAGTTATGTCTCAGCCAATAAGAAAAGGGAGTCCCCAGATAGCTGAGACTCCAGTGCACATCACTTGATTGAGAGAGGGATAAGATGAGTATTAGAGGGAGCTGGGGGGATGCTGCACACAGAAGGTTTTTTACCTTTGTGCATAGAATGCATGAAGGTAAACAACCTTCAGCCTTTACAACCACTTTAAGGTTAAAATGAGGTTAAAGTATATCTAAATCCCCAAAAATGTAATATATTGTAGCTTACAAGTTCCTAAATGTGGTGGCTGCATGCTGGTGTTGTTTTCCTTTTATTTCACCTGGTGATCCTGCCAGTAACACCCTACCCTTCTTGTCCTAGAGTAACAACACTCACTCACTGTACTGCAGCTATGGAGACACAACATTGACATCTTAGGACATGAAAGTGTGTCAGGATTCCAGAACACCACTCCTCTCTCCATCTTCATAACATGGTGGGAGATGTTCTGTAATCCACAAAGATGAACTTGGCAGTGCTGAAAACAGTTGCTGACATAACACTGCAAAGTGTGAAGGACACATTACTGGAATTGTCTCAGAATGCACTGGTATAAGATCTATAACAGGACTCTGAATGGTACAGCTAACAGGCTAAAATGAGTAATTAAGAAATGTTAATTGTTAGGGTTTACACATTTGTTAATCTTAACATCAAGATATTTTAGATGACTCAATCTTCTCCAATAGCATTGCAGGATCTATGCCAAACTTGGTCAAGTATAAGATACACTTTGGGGGTTATTTACTAAAACTGGAGAGTGCAAAGTCTGGTGCAACAATCAGCATCCTGGTTTTTTTGCCAAAGCCTGACTGAATAAGTTGAAGTTAGAAGCTGATTGGCTCCCATGCACAGCTGCACCAGATTCTGAGTGCAACAGTTTTAATAAATCTACAACCATTTGTGTTATGTTATTCTTGGTATTTTAGCTGGGTTTTTACCATTTTTCCAAAGGCAGTTTCTGTGCTTTATAAATAACTGATTGATCAGCAGCAAAAATCCTCAGATTTCCTATCTTATAAATACAGCATATTTTTATTCAAAATAATAGCTTAATATTTTCCATACATTTTACAGTTACTTAAAAAGGCAAAGGAAAGTACAAATTTGTGTTTAATGGAGTTGAAAGTACATACTATTTTCTTTTTGTGTCCAACAAATTGTATTTTATTTTTTAATAAAATGTGTATTTTCAGACAGGCACAGTGGTTTGCACGCATTCTTGCTAGACCTTTGGTAATATGGTCAGTCTCTAACATTTAGGTATGCATTAACTGAATTTGAATATAATCCTCAAATTAGCTATAGTGGTTCTCCTGAAGGTACTTGTATGTAGTATGTATGTTGCTTCCATATTTGCATGGGCTTTTGCTTTTGGATACTGACATATCCTGCAGTGTTTCAAGTAATATATAATATATTTCCCATTAAAGTAGATCTAAACCCTAACTATACAATGCACCATAAAGCATTTTTCTACTTCATAAAATTCTGTTTTCACTTGTTTTTTGTCTACAGTCTCTTTCAGTCACTTCCTGTCTACAGGCAAGCATCCCAGTGTGAACAGTACCATAGAACAATTTGCATGGGAGACACTGCTAGTTCTTTAACCACTTTACTACCATGCTATAGCCAAATGATGGATACAGCGCGGTAGTCCAGTTCTGGGAGGGCGTCATCTGACGTCGAGGGGTGTGCACCCAGCACTATCCATGATAGCTGTATCCTTTGGACACAGCTGATCAAATGACGTGTTAAAATGCCAAACACAGAGGCCTTTTGTCACGTGATAAGCTGTGTCCAATCACGGCTTACCACTATGTAAATACATTTGCCTGTTATCGGCAGTACTTTCCTCACGCTGTCACAGCATGAGGAAAGTACTGCTGGTAACTGGCAACCTTCAAAGCAAATATCTGCACTGATAATCAGTGCCCTGCTTATCAGTGCAGCCCCAAAAAGTGCCCAACAGTGCTGCCCATCAGTGCCCATCAGTCCCCAACAGTGCTACCCAGCAGCGGTGACTATTAGTGCCAAACAGTGCTCACAATCTCTGTCCGTCAATGCAGCCTATCAGTGCAGCCAGTCAGTGCCGTAAGTCAGTGCCATCAGTCAGTGTTGACAGTGAGTGCTGACAGTCAGTACCCTTCAGTGCTACCTATTAGTGCCCTTCAATGCCGCCTATTTGTGCTCATCATTGCCGCCTATCATTGCCCATCAGTGGTGCCTATCAGTGCAGCATCATTAGTGTCTCCTCATCAATGCCTACCAGTCCCGCCTTGTAAGTGTCGCCTATCAGTGCCCATCAGTGCCACATATCAGTGCAGCATCATTAGTGCTTCCTCATCAATGCCTACCAGTGCCACTTCATAAGTGCCACCTCATCAGTGCAGCCTATTAGTGCCCATCAGTGCTGCCTGTCAGTTCAGCTTCAGCAACACCCTCGGTGAAGGAGACAAATTACCTGTTTGCAAAAATGTTATAATAGAAACAAGGAAAACCTTTTTTTAAAAAAATGTTCGCTATTTTTACGTTTATAGTGCAAAAAATAAAACACACAGTGATGATTAAATACCACCAAAAAAGCTCTATTTGTGTGAAAAAAAATGATAAAAATTTCATATGGATAAAATGTTGCATGACCGCGCAATTGTCATTCAAAGCGCAACAGTGCTGAAAGCTGAAAATTGACCTGGGCAGGAAGGGAGTAAAAGTGCCCGGTAGGCAAGTGGTTAAATTGGAATTTCAAAAAAGTGGACTGCTGCTGTATTTTTACATTTATTAAAAACAAACTTCACATTGTCTGCCTCTAATTTTTAATCATACCATAGTACTTTATTAACACCCTCCCATTCAGAGCACTTGTGTGACTTAGAAATATACTATCAAATTAAGTGAGATTTTGTAAAAATATCCCCACTTTCTTGATCCCAACTAGATATGTGCAGAGAAAAAAAGGCTTTGAGGCTTAGCATACAAATAAGTCCTTAACCCATTCATGACCATGGATTTTCTGTTCTTTATGACAGGAATGACTCTAGTTGGAAAGCTGTAAGTGATTTTTGTGGATGAATACAAAGCACTTGATTGCAATGTAGCAGTCCTTCTCATTCTGCCATTTAATAGTAAGCAGAAGAGGGAGTTGGAAGCCAAGGGAAATTTCCCTATTGAGACACAAACAGCAAAAATAAACCAGACAGAGGTAACCATTCCCTTGCCTTTAACCACACTCCAAAGGAAAATTATTATTATTATTTATGTTATTTTTCCTCTGTTATTAAAATAATGTAATTTTTAGATCTTCTTAAAGCCCAGATTCATGATATTACCAATACCCCTCCCACTACCTGTAATTACCACTGGTGTGAAAAAAACAACCTATCCAAATGCCCATTTTATGTACATGGCCCTGGTCACATAATAATCCTCTCTTCTTTTGTTTCCTTCCTAGGGCATCTATTCATGGAGGTGACCCTTCTAGAGTCCGGGTTTTCTGTCACCGGCTCCAAAAGCAGAAAAGCTCACAGGACCAGTTTGGGGACCAATGTTCAAAAAGATAATAAGCAAGGGAAATGTTTTTGGTCCCCAGGGCAATACATTAGCTTGGCTCATAGAGGAAACTGTGTTGATGTTGATAAATTACACTGCAAGATAGCTTAGGAAGAGGTACAGTATCTGAAATCAAGGAAGAGGAGTAAGGTAATTTCATTTTTGCCTGGAATTGGGCTTTAAAGAGATGACATTGCATTTATACTGGTTTTTTTATAAATATCAATAAGTCAACAAAAAGCTGAGTGTTAACATCCTGGTTACTCCAAAGATATGATGATGACCAGGGGTGGACTGACCATTTGGAAACTCGGGCACTGCACGAGGGCCCAGGGTCAGTAGGGGGCCCCATGAGATTCCCCTGGTACCTTTTCCATAGGCTTTTTTGAGTTTGGGCAAGGACACAGGAGCCCCATGATCCCCTATTGCCCGGGGGCCCCATGAGTTGTCAGTCCACCCCTGATGATGATGTACATCATAGCGTGTCTTAGCTACTTCCTGCTGGCTGTACGCTTCTAAATGGCCTTTCCGCAGATGAGCGTTAGTACTGAGCGGCCGCATATATGCAGCCATGAGTAAACAACTTACCGCACTGAGAGAGCGCTCCCTGCATGCTCCCAGCATGGTAGCTGGTGAGGATCAGTAAGCTCCTGATACATACTTGCGATCAGGAGTTTTCCAATCGTGTCACAGCGGTCACATGACCTTAATGCTCACCTCTGCCTCCCAGCTTTTAGAAGTCCTAAAGGGCCGGGAGGTGGTCGGCAGGAAAGGGTTAAACTCTAAACACAAAGGTCTGGTTACAAAGAGGAGCACACTTGCCAACATCGATTTAAAGATAGCAATCAGTACAGCAGATATGAAGGTGTATGGTGTCAGGCCAGGGTTTAGTATTTATTTCAGGTACTTATATAGTGCTGTCAATTTACACAGAGCTTTACATATATATTGTACATTCATATCAGTCCCCAACCCTCAAGGGGCATACAATCTAAAGTCTCTAACTTACATTCATACATACTAGGGCCAATTTAGACAGGATCCAATTACCTACCAGCATGTCTTTGAAGTGTGGGAGGAAACCAGAGCACCTGGAGGAAACCCAAGAAGGCACAGGGAAACATACAAACTCCAGGCAGGTGGTGCCGTGGCTGGGATTTGAACTAATGACCATAGTACTGCCAGGCTGAAGTGCTAACCATTTAGCCACTGTGCTGCCCATTTGTGGATGATTCCTTTAACATTGTTCTGTTGTTTCCAAGATCATTGTATAAACAGCAATCATTTTGTGGGCCAAAAATATTATATGTTCATAAAATACAGATAAGTTGCTTCAATGTTCTTGTCAGCTCATTGTCGGTGCTGTATAAATGAATAAAGTATAATATATCACCCATTTATATACACTTACACTTTTTGTTTTACCTATCCCCTCAGTATTCTCTGTTTATAGCCGTGTGTTGTGGAATATCAGGAACAGTGGAATAAAAAAAATCAGGATTTTGTCTTGCAGAGGATTGGTGATTGAAGTAAACATGGCTCCAGGTTATTCACCAAGCCACCCCACAGTGAAGATTTCTGCTGATCATGTTAGATGCAAGGCTGCTGTGCTGATTTTATGTTTTCAATGCTTTCTGCATCACCAATCAAAAACTAGCATGCAAATCAGAAGTTCTGACTTCACTTGCTGTATAGTTGTTACAGTTCATGGATCCAGAGTGCACCGAAACCACAGATTCTGAATGGCAAGAAGGTTATTCATATTTACAGAGGGAAATTAGCAATTACAGCCTTGGTGTTTTAATCAGTACAGGTTTCCTTTTAAGATTATAAAAGAAAATAGGAAGCAGTTGTAACTTTCCCTTCTGTTATCAGGAATCTGAATCTCTTTTACAACCAATTTCAGCACTGCTTAGTGAGCCAGGCCCTTAATCTCAGCCTAAGGATTTCTGGAATCATTACAGAAAATGACAGTAAACTTCAAACATGTAATTTCTCGTCAGCACAAAAGATTCTGTTTTTTTAATTTTTGTTTTTAATTAAGTTACATTTTTGCAATGCTTCCCTTATTTCATTTCATCAACTGAGCATATGGAAATATAAAGTCTGAAGGCTTTCTGATTTATATCGATATTGGGGCATTTTGCTCTTGCGTAAACACTTTCTGTGACAAGAATGTGGATATTTTTACATTTCAGAAGTGCTCATTACAAAAGGTAGCATATGTTTTTGACTCCTGAACCATGAGTGAAATGAGAACACCCAGCTTGCAAAACTGTAAATTATAAACAGTTGGTACAGCCCTAAGCAAAGACGGCAATAATCACTGTATCTATTTTTTTAAGTAGCCAGTTCTGTCTCCAGTTTCACATGTTAGTTTTTTGTTGGTATATTGTTCTTCTCTGCCTCTCTCGCTCTCTCTCCACTTCTCTGATTTAATGGATTTCTGCATGGTTGCAAAGTATATATGTGTTCAGGGCCTGCAGCACAGCAATTTTGGAAGAACAGATGTCACCTGTGATGTATACTGCATCTGTAGGACTTAAGCACTTGTGCTAAGCGTTACGTAGTCCCACTACAGCCTGCCAATTTGATCAGGAGTCAATAACCATAGTATTCAGATAGAACACTGAGCCAAAATGTAATCACTTCTTATGTTAAAGCTTTGAAGAATGCTTTATTGAGAGGCTAAATGAGCACATGTTATTACCTCATCTGTTTTCTATTGCCCTTCATGTGAAACATAAAAAAAAAATCATCCACGCCATTTGAAGATCCTGTAAAACTGGTATTGACCCATATGATTCTAATATCACTCTGGAGTTTTTTTTTTGTAATAAGTCATTGCAGGAAACCCCTCTACCTTAAAAATAGAAAAAAAACATTTATGATGGACGTCTGTGCATTGAAACTAATAAATTGGTACACACATTGTGTTGTATTTGCATCATGTGGAATATTTTAATGTATTGCAAAAGAGTACCTGTAAGTTAAACACGCACTACAATTGTACAGAGAGTACATGCTACAAGAGATGTTATCTTGCTGTGTGTTATAGCTATGTAGCATTACCTGTGTCCATACACTAGACCATCCACCTTATAAAATATTTAAAGCTCAACTCTAGGCCCAAGAACAAAACTACCCTTTCAGGGGGATTCCACCTGCATTGTACATGTTGACACTGAGAGACCACACACAGCCTGGAGCTCCAGATAGAGAAAAATCAGGGGTAAAGTAAGTAATACTGCCTTCTCATCTACCCCCAGATGAAATGAGCATTTAATACTTGCAGTGTGGGGTGCTTCACATCAAGGTTTTTTTTTCTTTCAGCCTGGAGTTGGGGTTTAATTAATATCAATTAAAATGTGAACAGGTAATAATATATTCACATGGATTCTACGTATATTCCTGGTAGAACAGCTGATTTCTGAATATCAGATTCCTAACTTGTTTTGGATAAGCTCATGGACCCGGCAGTCAAAGCTACTGATGGGCGACTTTGCTAAGGTTCAATTTGCCCAGGGTTTGGTAAAAATTTGGCAGTGCCGACCTTAGAGGTGAATTCCATTGAAGTCTATAAGGGGGTAAATCTTGTTAAATTCTGGCTTTTTTTATCACCATAGATCTTTATTTTGTTAAAGGTAGAACAGTAAATAGAAATCATACATCATGCTACAAATAAGGCACACACACACAAGCAGCAATATGTGACATGTACAAAGTATCATATAAAATTGTAATGCAGCTTTCAAAAGTTGAATATACCAATACAGAATTACCTAGGGTATAAACAACACCAGGTGTTGACTAAAACCAAGGAAGTAGATTTTACACTTGTAATGTTGCCTATAGGTGGTATAAGGAGAGTACAGGTG